GGGAATCGGGTAAGTCAGGACATAAAGGAAGACTGCAAAATAATAATACTAGTCATAATATTTCTGGCGTCGCGTGAAAGGGTCGCAAGTTATACAGGCTGCTCGTAAATATAATAATAAACATACGTCACTGTGTTTGTTCGACGCACGGGAGCCCTCGAGGTAATGTGCCAACTTGTTTAAGTATATTATTTATCGAATGGACGAGATGGCTTCGGCATCATTTGATAGTCGAGACTGTCGACGATTTAGCGTATAAGAAAACATGGCTGACTTTGGAAGGGAGTTTCCTTGTTGCATGATTTAAATTTTAATTGCAATGTCCCGTGCCCGTCTTCGTAGAAACTAGTCAAGAATTTATTTAGCAACCACCTAAAATTGATAGTGTTGCTTGGTCTTTATTGTCAATAGGTTTGGATATCTGTCATTTGTGATTTGACGATTATTTTATGCGGCGTTCGAGTAACAAACTTTTTTTTCTATAAATATTTATCTCTTTTTATTTATATATTTTTTATCGTTGATCTATATTTAAAAGCACCGCCATTGTAACAAATTAATATTTCACATTATTTTTTTATACAGTTTTATTTTTAAGGTATAACGTTGCCCTAATTCGTCGATCATAATTAGTGACGTGACACATTTCATCGAAAAAAAGAGCGTAAATCGAAAAACGTCGTAAAACATTGTTTCGCGTCAACTCCTTGGCAATAAAAGCAAATGGCGCAATGATAATGCGTGTAACGTACGATGTCTTGTTTTGTTACAATCTCACAATTTTTTATTGCCATCTAGCGATATTGCGCTGAATTTATTAATACTGTCTGTCTGTACACAACGTTTATGGTTTTTTGGAAGTTTGACGGGAATGTCTTTCGCTTTATGATAATTAATTTGGGGACGTTTCTTTTTCATCAGCTTTTTCCTCGATAATTTTAATGTGTTAATTTTATACTGTACGAACAGTAAACTTATTACTAACAAACAAATCTTGTAGATTGCTAAAATAAAAAAAAACGCGCAAAATAATACTATTTTTGAGACAAATAAGCTTGGATGAAATAAACTAATTGTGTGAAAACGTGTTTTAACTTCTATGCCTTATCAAATTAGCCAAGAAACAACACTTTACTCCATCCAAAAAAAACTGTACAATACAATCACATTCAACAGCTCACACGTTTTAATGACTCATAATCACACCCAATCATTACAAACCTGTAACTGACAATTAACTCTCTCAATTTACACCAACGTTTACAAGCCAACACGCCTGTAAAGGCGGATTCCTTATTGCGCGTATTTACGATATTGTTGGTGTTTATCGTGGGCCTAATTAATATACACGCCGTTCCGCCATCGGAATATCGTTACAGGCGTTGTTACAACACTAATCCCTGTGTTGGGGTGTGGATATGGAGCGTAAAGGTAGCGGTTTGAAATAGATATCGCAAAACAAAGACAAAAGGTTTTTAGACTAGATATTTTAGCAAATGACAGTACAAATGAACAGCTACAAAGTTCAAATTAAAGCTCACAACGCTGATTTTCAGCAGGCATCTTTCTCAATATTATATTTTCTTTTTATCCTATACTAGCTTTTCGCCTTTTTAGGATTTTGTCTGTCACAGAAAAACTTAATCGCGCACGTCCCTGTTTCAAAAACCGGGATAAAAACTATCCTATATCCTTTCCCGGGACTCCATCTATTTCTACTACTATCTATCGATTTTATCGTAACATAACGTTTTGTTTGAAGTGGTGAAGAGTAAGAGCTTTGGCATGCTGCAGCAGGAATTATTTTTTATGCCTACTTGCACTACAGAAACTATTAATCTCATTGCCTTACTTTTTAAACATTGTTATTGTTGCTAAAATTATACCTTTTCAACTTTTACACTTCTTTAATTGAATCTACTAGTATCAAATCAAATCAAATCAAAATCAAAATCAAAATAAAGATATTATTTGTTTAGACTAATTAAATTAGTACTTACAAATCGTCAAATGCTCTTAAGGAGCCTATGTCTCATTATTTTTTTGCCCTACCAGCGCTTCGAGACAAACATTTGGCAAGTGCTGAGAAGAAGCGCCTATTATTAGTTATTATCTTCTTTTGTTAGATCTCCGTCTCCGCTTAACCCATCAATGAGCACTGCACCTAATATTTAATAAAGCTGTATTTACAAGGGATCGTTAAGGCCCGCGCCACAACATAACCTCGTAGAATTCGCTTGTTCGCTTTTTGGAAGCGCTTCTGTTATTTGAGTGTAGTAAAATGAGGTGATTAGGCAGTAAAGATACCATTAGTAGGTGTCTAATATTAGGAAATACAGTGCGAGTCACGTTAAAGTGTACATATGAAAATAGATGAAACTAGACTTATTTTTATCGACAAAAAAGAGGTCAAAAAATTTTTGAGATTTTTTTTAAATTTTTTATAGAATTTTTTTCTTCAAATTACTTATTGTAAAGAAAACGTAATAACTTTTAAACTAAGCGGTATATCCTGATAAAATAAAAACAGTAATAATGCTAAATAACAGGCAATACTAAAAAAATACATAGAATACACAAAAAATGCCAACAAATAATAAAAAATAATAATTTTTGAAAAAAATCTGCTTAAAAATTCGTGTTTTTTTGGTTATTTTATAAATTTCTCCAAAAAATGCCCCTATAACCGGTGGTTTTTATTACTTTGTATTATTTTCTATCGTATTATCTTTGTAAAACCAAAAATCGCATGTCTCTATCCCTATCACAACATTTGCTATGATCGTTTGAACAAAGGCCTGCCACAACATTATTCTCCGCTACAGGTAGAGACAATTTTAATTTTAACTAAAATGTTTAATTTACCTCGAAATCTTTTGTTTTTATTTGAAATCTAACTTGTCTTTATAAAAATTACAAATCTAAAGCCATTTTCAGTTTTGTTGTTAACGAAGCGTTGAATGGCGCGCCCGGAGAGGCTTAGTTCAAACGATCATTGCAAACGTTGTGATAGGGATAGAGACATGCAATTTTTCGTTTTACGAAGGTAATATGATAGAGAATAATACAAAGTAATAAAAACTACCTGTTATAGGGGCATTTTTTGGAGAAATTTATCAAATAACCAAAAAAACACGAATTTTTAAGCGGATTTTTTTCAAAAAGTATAATTTTTTATTATTTGTTGGCCTTTTTTGTGTATTTTATGTATTTTTTTAGTATTGCCTGTTATTTAGCATTGTTACTGTTTTTATTGTATCAAGATATACCGCTTAGTTTAAAAGTTATTATGTTTTCTTTACAATAAGTAATTGAAAGAAAAAAAATTCTATAAAAAATTAAAAAAAAATCTCAAAAATTTTTTGACCCCTTTTTTGTCGATAAAAATAGGTCTAGTTTCATCTATTTTGATATGTACACTTTAACGTGACTCACACTGTATTACAGTCGATCGGGGAGTGCATAATATTAAGTTCGTGGAGTTTTGAGTTGTACAGACGCAGTAAATCATATGCCACATGTACGAGGATATTAATGGGGTAGGGCTTAATTTACCACTCCTACTAGGTGGACCGACGATCTGGTAAAGGTCGCGGGAAGACCCTGGATGCGGGCAGCGCAGGACCGTTCATTGTGGAAAACCTTGGGGGAGGCCTTTGTCCAGCAGTGGACGTCATTTGGCTGAAACGAAGACGAAGACGAAGGGCTTAATTTAATTCCATTTACAAGAAATGATGTTGGAATTAGATAAGTTTAATAAATCTTTCGGGATGTGACACTACTCTTCTACTGAAGAGAAATCCTCCTATACTACTATTACTGACCTACCTATTCTACATCGGCTGGCATTAGCATTGTGTGGCTGGGGTGCACATTTAATACAGGCCACTCAAATGTTGATCTAGGCTACAGCTACCGCCAGAAAAATCTACACGCTAAATAAGTATAATTACACCAGAACCTTATAGAGCGATTAGAGAGAATTTGCAAATACAGTCAGAAACTAGGCTAGTTTATAACATTACCATCTTCACTGAGCCATAAATCTAGTGTGAATTGTCCGCTCTACATACAGTTCCTTAGTTGCGACGCTATCAGCGTAACGACCGACGACCTAATTTTAACCTCCAGATTCCTTTCTAATAACACCGACATCTGCTCCCGAGGTAATCGCCCAAATATTCAACATCGACCAACTGAGCGGCGCTCTAATCATGAAAATGTATTTATGACCTAATTAAACTCTTGTCTACTGCTGGAAGACCCGTCCGAAAAGGACGCAGCATAAACCAATCCCCCAAGAGCGAGCGAGACAAGAAACACCCAGCTCTCTGATTAATGACCGTTATATGGCTGGTTAAGTACCGTGTAATTTGCAAAACGACCCTTAATTACCGTAGAACATGGCTACTATCTCCGTCCTTATCTAATGAAGCAAGATCCCGGCTGAGCGAACGGGATGGCTGTAAGTTTGCGTAGCGACTTAAAAGGCGGTATTTAATGAGGCATTATGATGTCGCCCGTACAGATTAGGTTCACATGGCGCTGAAAATTGTTTGTTCCTCTCTTTATATTTGGCTTTCTGGGACGCAAACACAGGGAAATTTAGTGGCGCTCTCAGATACGTAATACCGCTTTGCGATGTCCCAGCACCTCTGTTTGCGCGAAATGATAGTGGAATTTGAGTTAATACCTTTAAGAAACTCTTCTAAGAGATATTTACTAGTAAAACAGATGGTGCTGTTTTCGTAGTTTCATAATTGAGAAAGCAATTAATGTGCTTTCAAGATGATCAGATTTATTGGGAAAATATTTTGAAAAGGCTCGGAATTTATATTTTAACTGTTTTGTAATTGAACCATTATTATTTTCACTGATATGGTTTCAGAGAAAATACATTGCAAATACTTGTTTATTTATGTTTCTCCGACATAAAAATGAAAATGTTAAACAAGCTCAATATTTGTTAATTTTGACTAAATTGCAAACTTTGTCCGCAGGTATGGTTCCAAAACAGAAGAACGAAATGGCGGAAAAAGCACGCGGCCGAAATGGCGACAGCGAAACGCAAACAAGAAGAGCTTGGCGAGGAGTGCGACGACCAGGAGCAACACGACAACGACGCTTGCAGCGACGAGGACGACGCCAAACGACCACGACTCGACATGCACCACCAGCACATACACCAGATGCCCCACCACCGCCAGTGATCGTGTGGAAGCGCGAGCGACGACGCTAACCACGTCAGCGCGCGCGCCGAACCACACGTCACCGAAAACTGCGTCAGCGACGTCAAATACGACTACTTCAACGAATACGTCGTGCCAAAAGCGTTCTGCAAAGAAACAAACGACGACGCGCCCTGCGATCTCTCGAACTGGCACAAGTTCGAACGGAACCAGAGTGAGGTGGACAGTGAACAAGACTTGAACAACGATGTTGACGAACAACCGATCAACTTCGCGTACTATCATTTTTAATGTGAATAATGTAGCTTTTAACTGTACATAGTTCGGTTAGTCATGTGATACGTTAAGTAATTTATTACCGTTAGATTTTACATGGTACTATTTTAATGAATTTGTGGTAATTTTAATATATTGTACATTATGAACATTAAATTCCCGGTGCCAATTTTCCTAACAGTAGTTTTAGATTTTAAAGTATTATATTTTATTCCAAAATTAATAACGTAACGTTCTTTCTTTAATCATAATATTTTTTCTTGTTTACAAAATGTAAACTACTTTTAAAACTTTCTCATTCTCACTTTAAATTAATAGGTATAATTTTCAAAATACCTTCATTTTGTAAAATATTGTTTACGAATCGACATTTTTATGTAATAATTTTGTAAATATTTAACACTATTTCATGGAAATTCACGAGTGTATTAATGTTGCCGCTATCGGAGCAATGCAATATGTAATGTATATTGTAAATTTTAAGATAAAGTGTAAATAAATATTTAAACGAATTTAATTATTGTAACTAAGACTATGAGTAGTGTAGACCACGCGAGAATGTAGTCATTTGACGTCACATGTGATCCAGAACTTTTTTGTTTACAAAACCAATGTTTACACAAAATATTAAATAATTTAATTTTAATCCGATATAATAATGTATTTAGAATTTTCTGGAGCACATTTGACTATAAAAGCCAAAATGGATTTTAATTAATTCTTTCACACAATACCAGTGATTTCTATATCATCAAAAATATTGTATAAATATGTATAAATGTATAAGTATACCTAGGTATACACAAATTTCGAATTGTTTACTTCAGTTAATTTTATACATGTATTATAGAGAAGCTAGAAACTTAATGTCAGCCATAAATAAAAAGGTATAAACAAATATATTTTTCCTTTTACGTGCCATTTATGTTCATATAAATATTGTGTGAAAGATAACCTAATTGTCATAAGTTAAAATAGTCGACGAGCTTCAAAAAATACAGAATCGCTTAGAAATGTATCTATGCACAAATCTGAAATAGGACGCTTATAAAAGTGTATAAACCCATCTCGATCGAAACAGTATTTTAGATCACGAGCGTGGAAAATCTACATTATGTGGTTGGAATAAACGGTTAGAAAAAATAGCATGTCATTTTATTTATCCCTCTCTATAAAATATGATGACAAAACACGGTTTTTTGTTCAAAAATGCAAAATAAAAGACAAAAGTAACTCTAAAGTAGATACTGAGACAACAGGTAGAGGTAACATAATATGTAGAGCAAAAAGCTTTCCTAATCCATTGGGTATTCAGAGGCTCTAAGTCCGATTTCTTTATAGCTACCTACATATCCATGTAGAGTCAGTCACTTTGTTAATTCCCAGCTTCTAGATTACAGACTTGAGTCAAGTTAAATATGCTACCATAATAAATTCTCGATTATGAGTTTAAAGCTTTTACGAATTCTGAATGACTCATTTCAGACGCCTAGATGGCTCATGAAGTCTGACATCAGCCTGAAACTAATACAATGAAAAATAAGGCAAGAACGTCAGTAACAAAACTGACATAATAAAGTTGACTTTATAATACACTTGTTGGAAGACCTTAGTCCATAAACAATAAATGTAACTAATTACTCATTCCCAGATATTGCGAACTTATGTCTGTTCCACAATCAGTTAAAGATTTCTACTCAAAAATCCCATCCCGCAAAATTCACTAGACATCAAAAACCACGCGGAACTTGATAAGGAGCATTCGGACCCCAATATTTCGGCGCTATCTTCTCAAAACTGTCAAACGGGACGCTCCAGCGCAATTCTTTCGCGCCGATATTTATTACTGTAGGTATACCCTCGCATTGAATGGAAACCTTTGAAGCTATGAGGCTTTAAGGCAAAAATCGCAAAAATCACCCTCCGTCTCTATAGCAACCAGACCTCCAAACTGAAAGCTACCTTAAGATGCAACATCTAAGTATAATTTTCAGTGTTGAGGACACCTTGTAATGCGGCTTCTTGTTACATGTAAAACATCGTTTTAGAAAGAGAGGATGCAAGTGATAGAGAGGGGTATACAAGGAGGGGATGCAAGGGTAATATTCTTTCATTTGTTGCGGCTAGGGGCTACCTAATTTTTATTCTGTGACGGAATAGGAGGAATCGTGGGTAGTTTGAAGCGGAGGTGTTTAAAGGGGAGGATAATTATGCGCTCGCGTTATTTACATGCGGTGGCAAAGTGTTTTATTTTTATCTTTAATCGACTGAATTTTATTAGATTATTTATGTTGCTCTTATACGAATAGAAATGGTTTATTAAATTCAAAAAATGTCATATAGAGAAAAATTTAAGAAGGATGTTGACTGATACTGCGGATAAGTACATCATAATAATAATGCATTAATAATTATTCCAATACACTTTTGCTAAGTGTTGTGATGAATATGAGCATATACGAATATTACCTGAAACATACTATGAAAACCTGTAAGGCATCATGCCATTTCAAATATAGCACCAAAATGTTCAACAAACAGAAATCTTATATCAGAGATGAAAAATCCAGGATTTTATAAAAGACTGCGACGGTAGAATATGAAAGTCTTAAATATCTCCCTGATACTCCTACATCTCGCAAACACGAAAAAAGTCCTGTAAAACACTCAAATTCTGGCAACAGACATGTTACCGATAAGGTGCCGTCCCACCTTTTATTTATGACTCCATTTTAAACCGGGGCGAGTATGTCCGTGATGTCACAGTGCAGGTGGACACAGTATTTTAACTCCGAACCAATTTTAACATTTTATCCAAGAGGCCCTAAAGCAGTCAGAACAGAAGAGCAGCAGAACGTATCAAAAGAAAGTAGTAAACGCCACAAAGCACGAGATCCTGTTTTTTATCGAGTTGCGGCCAGCTATCTTCTTTGGAGGACGTTCAGCGAGCAGGTAAGTTAATTTTTAGGACAGCAAAATGTAGAGTATAGGACCACTATATTATATTTTTAAACCGGCAGACAGTGGTGACTGAGTTTGTTGCGGCGCTTCTTCTCAGCACTTGCCAAATGTTTGTCTCGAAGCGCTGGTAGGGCAAAAAAAGAATGAGACATGTAGGTATAGGCTCCTTAAGAGCATTTGACGATTTGCAAGAACTAATTTAATTAGTTTAAACAAATAAAGAACATTTTGATTTTGATTTTGATTTTCGGACGGTCGTGTTCCTAAAGTCAGGTGATGATTATGATGATGACGCCATGCCTTTTGAATTATGAAGAGGCAATAAACTTTCAACAACAATCTACAAGGTGGACCGACGACCTCATAAAGGTAGCAGGAAGGCGCTGGATGCAGGCCGCTACCAACCGTGCGATGTGAAAGTCATTGGGGAGGCCTATGTTCAGCAGTGGACGTTCTATGACTGAAATGATGATTAATAAATTATTATTTATTTATTTATTTATTTATTTATTTATTTATTTATTTATTTATTATTCATTATTGAGCAATTACATATTTGATCCAAATAGCGTCCTAAATCCTTTTTAGGTTTGTCTAGACACTTAAGTCTTCACTTTCAAATCTAGCATGACAAATCACTTGCCAATGTTACATTGTCTAAAGGCATTGAACTTACTTTTCCAACGTGTACTGTGGCCACACCGTATCGGCGCGTGTCGACACACACGCTCCGAGAGATTTCCGCCGAAATAAGGATATGTACTTGCTGATTTATATGGAAGGTCTTGGGATTTAGAAGCTGCTATTTACATCTTTTACGCCGTGCTACCTGTAAGGTGGAAGATTATGTAATACAGCCTGAACTTTGTTGTGATTTCAGAGTTAAACATGTTGAGAACAGGTGTAATTTTGTAAATGACTGATTTGTTTCTAATTTCTACTTTAGCACCTAATTTAGCACTGACTTGGTAAATTATGAAAAGTTTTAGTAGAGCAGCTACAAGTTTTAGGTAGGTAAACTTATGCAGAAACATTCGTGTAGGGCAAAATTAGATCTCACTGTAAAACTGTAGCTTCCTCGTTGTGGATATAAAAAAAAAGTAGTAAAGAAGTTCTTACATTCAGTAACATTTAGGTATATTGCAAGCTACAATAAGTAGTAAGTCTACTTGCAATGGACGTACAGCTTTAATAATTACACAACGACTGAAAAAGGACTGTAGTTCAGCTGTGGACTTTTCTATTACAAAAAAAAACTCTTTATTATGATAAACGTTGACAAATCAATAGATACCACCCACTTCGTACAATACTCATCTAGGCCCAAACGACTCTCCCAATACTCGCAAAACATTACACAATCCAACTAATTGGTGCGATGACCGGCGATAAATAAAGAAGTAAAAACACCGTAAAATAAAGCTGGACCCACATTGGATTAGGCGCATAAAAATACTAGTGACACTCCGCATTAACTGTTCCACTTACTAGCTCGCGGCCACACACTGTGATTGGGAGGGGTATTCTGGAAAATGACAATTTCAGTCAATGACAGTTCACTGCTGGACGTAGACCTGGATCAAGGAGTTTCATAAAAGTAAGACAGCTTTTTGGACTAAATAAAATCTCTTTCTATCTTTCATTTATTGCTATGAATATGATAGGTACAATGATTTGGTTTAAAATATAGGTACAAAGATGTCATACAGTATATTCTTCAGCTTTTTTACAGCTATTGCGAGCTTTATTCTTAAGCTCGTTGGTTCAACCAGAAGTGGGACATCTTATACTTGACTTCAAAGGAGAACCATAAAGCTCAATCTTCAGCTCTTTTAATCCAGCGTTTTTTGTGTCAAATGAAAACTGGGTATGGATGATGATAGGCGAGAGTTTATTTTTTGAAGAATAACGTGGATTTAGCAACGAATTTTGTAAGAAACATTTCATCAAAAGCTTTACAAAAAGTCCTTACAAATTACCAACTAAAATCTCGTGAAATCGTTCCAGCGTCGCTTCGATCTCGCCAAACCACAGTACCTTTCCAGAATAAGCCCCTTCCGCTTGTGAAATAAGTCCGATACATTTACACACGCCTTTGATTCCGAAGATTTACGGCCGTCCGTCTGTCCATCAGTGATTTACACATTCACCCACATCGGCCACCGATCGCTAATTAAAAATGCATTCTTTACCGTCAATTTGGTGT